CCACCACATGAAGGCCACAGTTGGGAGGCCACGCCTGCCCTCACCTCACACCTGGCTGCCATGTGCCCCCACCTGGGAAGGCGGGGTAAGGCCCGGGGCGGGAGCAAGCATCCCCCTCTGTGCCACCCCCGCCCGGAGACTTCCAGCAGCTCGGGGCACCTGCCCAGGCCTGCTCCTGGACGAACACCGGCAAGAATGGCTGCCAGGCACTGTGGCAGGGAGCCGGGCTCCGGGTGGGTGGCCTCCGGCTGCAGTCCTTGCACTCCGGAGCCTCTTTCTCTTCTCCCAAATGTGGGCAGTGACCCGCCCCCACAGGGCTGTGCTGCTGGTCAGACGCGATCAGCGATGATCACGGTGGCCCCCAGCAAGGACGCTGGACAGGCAGGGGCTCAACCAGACAGCAGGGCCCCGCGCCCCCCGGCCTTTGACGGGGGCCCTGAGTCTTGGTCTGAAATACCCTGAACTAGGCAGGTCTGGGAAGGAAGAGTCTGGCTTACAAAGGAAGTGCCCAACCTCTCGCTGCCTGGGCACGTCCAGGCCTGGGCAGAGGCTGGCCTCACACCCAACCTGACTCCCGGCAGCCTTGGGGGAGGCCCTGTCCTGTCCAGGGCCCACCGGGCTGACACCATGTCCGTGGGCGTGGATGACCCAGCACCAGCATGGGCATCCCCACGCCAACCGTGCCCTCCTCCTCGAGCTGGAGCCCAGCCTGCCGCCCGGCCAGGGTGTCCCTGGTCCCTCTCCCAAGAGGCTGGGCCGCTGTCTGTCAACCTCAGACTTACACTGTTCTCTAATTAGTGCCAGCACGGAGCCGGGCCTGCCCGCCTGTCCCCCAGGCTCACTCGTCCCTGCATACGCATTTGTCCGTGAGTCCTGGGGTACTCGGCCAGCAGGCGCCGCGGACGTGCTGCGGCTCCCTGCAACGGTCAGGAACACACAGCCCTGTCCCGACGGAGGCGGGGAGGCCCGGTCAAAGGCTCGGGAAGAGCTCCAGTTAAGATATGTGCTGAGCGGGCCCAGAAGGGAAGGCAGGCCCGGGACAGCCCACGGGAGACGGCGGCTGGGGACCACGGGGGCCTGGGCCTCCAGGCTGGGACGGCTCGAGGCCTCCAGGAAACTCGGAGCCCAGGACTGGGCCACCGTGAATGCCACAGGCTTTGGGGTCAGCAGACTGGGCCGCAGTCCCCAAGCTCCACGTGTGCTGGGCAAAGTTACGTGGCTCCCCTGGGCCTCGGCTCACTCAGCTGTAAGTCAGGTCCACAAACCCTTCCTCACCCGATGCATCAGGCAGACAGGAACGGGAAGACGCGAGCACCGAGCCTGGGTCAGGGTCGGGGCCCCAGGGGGTCTGCATGGGCCTGCCAAGGTCTCTGGGCAGGGGCATGGGGGAGCCACGGACTGGGGCGGCCGCCAGCGCACGGCGCCTTCAGGGGCGGTCGTGACGATTCGCAGTGTCGCGTGTGAAGGCTCCGGAAGCATGGAGAGGCGAGGGGGGCGGAGGCTCATGCGGCAGAGCCAAGGCCACAGAGGATGTCGCTCCTCTTGCAGGAGCACACTGTCCAGCAAGGTGCTCGGGCCGTTGCATCATGCAGGTGGCCCTGTCGAATCCTGGCTCCCTTGGGCCTCCCCGGCACACGCCTCCCCCCATCTCAAAGCCGGGGTGATGAAATCGTAGGTCCTCGAGTGGCGGAGGGACAGAGCCGCAGAGCAACCAGGGCTGAGGACCCCTCGGGGACCTACGCCAGGCACACGGGCTGTTCCTGCCTCCTGAACAGGGCAGGGTACACAGGTGGTCTGGGGCCAGGCCGGGTGCCCGGTGGCCGGTGAGAGCAGGCCACAGCTGAGGGACAGGCACTGGGTGGGTTCTTCCGGGGTGGGGCCTTCTGAGGATCCCCCCCTCCCCCGCCCCTGCGTCTCTCACCAGCACACAGGTATGGGGCACACAGAAGCAGCGGGGGGTGGTCCTTGGTGTGAGCTCCAGGGCCCGCTGCTACCCGCCCCCCCCCGCAGCGAGGCTCACCCCCGGCCAGAGGGGCGGCCAACCAGTCCTCACTGCACTGACGGCCCCTCCGCCCTCCAACCCCCGGTGCTGGAGCTCCAGACCCCTCCTCCTCTGCCCACACCCCTCATCTCCCCCTGCTCGCCCTGCACGGCTCGGCACAGAGCAGGACACTGGCGGGTCGATGTCCACTGGGGACCTACTTGGGGCCTGGAACGGGGCCAGCTTCTGTGGCTACAGCATGGATGTGTACAGACCGGGGTGGCCCCGTCCCCAGCACCCCAGCGAAGGGTCAGAGCAGCATGAGGCACGTCACTGGAGTGCCAGGAAGTCGGGGGGCTGGGGGCGCTGGGGGCAGGAGTGACCTCGCAGGCGGAGGCAGAGAGCCTGCGGGCGCCAGCGGGCGTGTGTGGTTCAGCACGGGCGCTGCCTGTCCCCGGCAGTGGCTCCCGGGCCATGCTGGACACATGGCCCTCACTTTCCCTGCTGCCTCCTGGCCCTCGGGAGGGTTCCCTGGGCTCTGCGGCCCCCATGGCCTTACCCGGCTGCTGCCTCCCCAGCCCTGCTTCCTCACCTGTAAAATGACAACAGCTGTCATCACCAACTGCCGGGCATGGCCGTCCAAAAAATCACACCAAGTCACGAACGGGAGGCTTCTGTGCCCTGACAAACCCACTTTCGCAATCGCTGTCATTTCTAAGGTCCCTTGGGCAGAGCCTATAAACACCTCCCTGCTTTCCAACCACTCCACCCGGTCAGGGTCAGCTGAGACGGGGCGGGCTCTCGATGGGCGGCGACCCCAGGGCCCCAGGCTGGAGAAGTCCAGCCGCCAGGCCTGCCGGAGAGGAGAGCCAGGCAGGGCTCCCCCAGTGGCGCCTGCTGCACGAGGCCGCCAGAGGGCGCCTGGTCCACGGAGGCCAGACCCCGCTGCAACAGGAGGGGACGCTGGGCCAGCTACTGCCCCGGGAGGTCACCCTGTATCCTCTGCTCCACGTGGCGCTGGCACCGTGTCAGCGCCTGGGCCCCGCAGGGCACTCTGGGGTCCCAGCGCTCATGGGGGCTTCAGCCACAGGGGGTCAGGGAGGGTGGCCCTGGGACGGAGGAGCTGAGGGGCACCGGCAGAGAGTGCGGCCCCTGGCATTCCAGGCCCGGAGGAGGCGGCAAACCCCAGCCCTGGCCAGCACGATGCCGGGTAACCACTCTCTCCCCGGCGGGCAAGGAGCACCCCGTCTCCACCCATCACACACAGACTGCAGAGCACTTTGATCGTCCCGGGGCCCGAATCCACTGCCTCCCCCAACCCAAGGGAACAAGACCTGGCCCCCAGCCCAGCCTCGCCCCTCCCCCAGCTTCCCCACTTTGCCCCGCTCTCTCCCAGCCCTTGGCTGCCCAACCTCTGCCTCTTGGCCCCTTGGCCCCACCAGGGCAGAGGCCTGTGGGTTTGAGCGAGTCGAAGATGGTCCCTAAGGACACAGTGGCCACGCGGGGGTGGATACACTACACGGAGAAGAGGCACCGGGGCAAGATCGGGGGCTGGGTGGGGGCAGCTCGGGGCACCCCCAAGCATCTGGGGTGGGATTCAGAGGGGCGGCCGGGGACACCCAGGCGAAAGTTCCTGTTTGTGTGGGAGGAGGGGCCCTGGTGGAGCAGAGCGGGAGCCAAACTGCAGAGGGCCCTTTCCCGGCCCCAGGCAGCCCGGGGGGCCCACCAAACCCGGCCCACCAGAGGCAGGCCTGCCCCGGACAGGCGCCCTCAGCAGAGGGAGACGCCGGAAGGCCTGCTCTGGGGTACTGAGAGGGGCCTCTCCCCAGCCCTGGTGGGCTGCGGGTGGGCAGGGAGGTCAAAGGGCCTCTGGAGGCAGGCCCTCTGCGTGTCTGACCGTCCCGGGGCCAGGGGGCCACAACCCGGCCGCCTCCCTCCCACTCCCCAGCAAGGCAGGGCCACGGACCGCACACTGAGACCCTCCTCTGTCATTCAGAATTCTCGTATTCGTGGTCATTCCCTGTCCCTCATGTCACCGTTTGAGCAGAGCCCTGACTCACAGCCCTCCCCCTCGTTTGGAATTCCTTCCCTAAGAGAAGGGGGTCGGCTCTGCTCTTGTGCACCGCGTCCCAGGCGCCCTGCACAGACCTAGCGGGGCTCCCCACACGTTTGCAGTTTCAGGAGCCGGGGGGTCTGGGTGGTCCTTAGGACACCGTACTCCACCCCTCACCCCCCAAGGCTCCTCAGAGGCCTGCAGGGAGGGGGCGGGCAGGACCGCAGGCAGCTGCAGGGCTGAGGATGCCTGGGAGGGTCCAAGCTCTTTACAAAGAAAAGACCCGGCCCCTGGGCGGGATCCAATGCGCCGACCACCTGCAGCTCGACTCCCCGCCAGAGGCGGCCCCGAGTGCCAGGCCGGCGGGCCGCAAGTCCAAGTTCGCTGGGCAGGAACCCTTGCTTGTGCTCCAGGTGGCAGAGGTCAGGCCTCGCCCCCACCCCCAGGCACACGGCTGGCTCCCTACCTCTCAGGGGCCCCACTCCCGCCAGGAATGGGGGGCTTCTAACTGGATCCATCTAGGCTGCCCGTTGCTGGGAACCCCCAAGGAATCCCCAGGCCCGACCCGAGGCGCCTTCCTGAAAGACCCGTTCAGCCAACTGGGAGTCCCTAGCCCGCGGCCGCCGTCAGCGGCGCCCAGCCGGCCGACCCCGCAGTCCGCCCTGCGCGCCCCGGGGCTCGGACCCCCGCCCCGCCCCCGCGCTGCGCCGAGCCGACGGCCGAAGACGCCCAGCCCCAGCTCGGCCCCGCAGGACTGGGGGCGGCCGGGTCCACGGCCGCACGAGGACAGCTCTGGGGGAAGGGGCCGGTGTGCCAGCTCGTGGCGGGGGGCGGCCGAGCGCAGCGCACGAGACCCGGGCGGCGCTCGGAGGCGCAGACGGGCGGGGGCGCAGGCGGCCGGCTCCGGGCAGAACAGGGGGCAGGAGGGGAGCGCGGGAGGAACCCGGGCGCCTCGCCCTCACTTACCCGAGATCTCCGCCTGGGGCACGTCGCTCAGGCTGAAGCCCTTGGCCCCGTAGATCTGGCGGACTTCGCTGCAGCTCCGGCTCTTGCTCGCAGGGTCCCCGCGGGCGCAGGCGGCCAGCGCGGCGGCCGCGCAAAGCAGCCACCAGCCTCGGGCCCGCAGCTCCATGGCGGGGCCGGGGCGCCCCGGCCGCCCGCCCGCCCGCCCGCGCCTCTCCCGGATCCCGCCCGGGCCGCGCAGCCCCCGCCCGCGAAGGGCAGAGCCAAGGTCCCAGCGCGGGCGGCGCGCGGGCGGCAGGCGGCGGCGGCCGAGAAGGCGGCGACAACAAAAGCCGGCGGCGCAGGGCGCGCGGGGCGCGAGGTCCGGCCGCTCGGTCGGGCGGCACAGAGCGCGGCGGGCGAGCGCGCAGTCCCGGCTCGGCGCCTCCCCTGCCGGCGGCCCGGCCCCTCGGCAGCCGGGGCGGGGGCGGGGCGGGGCGGGGCGCGCCGGGCGGGCGGGGCGAGCAGGGGCGGGGCGAGCAGGGGCGGGGCGCGGCGGGGCGCGGCGCGCGGCTCGAGGGGCGCTCGTCCCGCTCCCTGGGGTCTGGGGCCGCCGGCTCGCGCCGAGCTGCGGGGCGCTCGAGGGAGGCGGGGCGGCCGGGGAGCGCCGGGGCCGCGGCGGGGTCCCCGAGGGCGGGTCCCCCACGCCCAGCGCCCGGGGCGGCGGCGGCACCACCTGTGGGGGCGGGGGCGGGGGCGCTGAGGCAGGGCTTCCCCCGCCGGACGTGACGTCACGCCTCCCGCGCGCCTATCCGGGGCGTCCCCGCCCCCCAGCCGAAGCCGGGCGCCCTCCCACCTCCGCCTCCCTCGCTCCCGCCCGGCCTCCCCGCACCCTGGCCGCGCGCCCGCGCGTCCGCTCCCGCAGCGCCGCCGCCCCCGCTGCGCGCCCCCTCCCGCCGGCGCCGCGGCCGCAGCCCCTCGCCCCCACCTCCGCCCCAGCCGCCCGTCCCGGGGCTGCGGCTCGCACCTGAGACGGGGGGGGGCGCTGGAAACTAGCCGGGTCCCTGGACTCCGCCCCTTGGCCCCCAGGGAGGCGGCCGGCGTCCTAGTTACTGGAGATGGTCAGGGTCTGGTCTCCTCCGCGTGGGTCCTGAAGAAACCGGTGTGGCCGAGGCGGAACGTCCTGTAGACGCGGGTCATGGGCGGAGGCGGGTAACCTCGGAGCAGGGGTGCGCTCGGAGAGCTGGGGGGTGAGGAGAGCGCCCAGGCCGCAGAGCTGGACCGGAGAGGCGGGCGCAGCGGGCAGGGGGGGTGGGCTGCAGCGCCCCTAGCTGCAGGGGGAGTGGGGATGAGCGGCGGGGGGCGGGATAAGAAGCTGAGGGCACTGCCGGACTTCTGGGTCTCCCTCCTCCCCAGCTGCTGTGCCCCTCCGCTGGCCCCCCCCCCCCCCCCCCCCCCCCCCCCCCCCGCTGCCCTGGGGCAAAGCCTCAGAGGCCACCAGGCCACCAGGCCGGGAACCCACATACCTAACTGGCAGAAATGGAGGAGAGCAGACAAGTCAGTACCCTTGGCAGAGGGGCCCTGAGATCACCACCTTGTGACAGTAAGAGCCTCCGGGCTGTGGTCTCCCCTCCCTGCAGGGAACGGTAACCCAGGCCTGCGGGCTGTGTGCGCCGCAAGCAGGGAGGGGGGCCCCCTCCCTCCCCTGGGGCTCACAGGGGCAGTTGGCTCAGGAGCCCCAGAAGGGGCCTGGGGTCCCCTGCCCCGCGTCCCAGAGAAGGCTGCTCCCTTCACCGGACACACTGAGTCACTGCACCAGAGGGAGGCTGCGGGGACCCAGCCCCGGTGTACAGACCTCCTGCCCTCCCCACGCACCTGCTGCCTCGTCATGTTGGTGACTCACGGACCCCCGCGCGGCACACACAGACGCACGGGCCTGTTCCTTCTTGCCTCCCCCTGGCACAAGCGCCTGGACACCACCTCCCCCTGCGGGCGGCTCCTGCCGGGCTTAGGCACTGGGCCCTCACAGGGGCTCACCTCTGGCTTCCCGGTCAGGCCGGAGCCAGGACTGGGGCTCAAACTCGCCGGAGGCTCCCTCTGTCTGGTTGTTATGGTGATCGCCGTTGCCACCTCCTAATCCAACCAGACTGGGAAATTCCTCAGGGTGGGGTCGGTGTCCAGTGCACTTCCGGGCCTTCCCCTAGCAGTGTGACCGGACTGTCCACGCGCCACACATACAGCTCGGGTCTCCGGGCGGCCCTGCCCGGGCACCTCCCAGGTGCAGCATGGCTCCGTCCCGTAGGGAAAGCCTCCCCCCCACCTACGCTCCCGCATCCCGCCCTGCTGAGGGCCCCTCCTTGGGCTGGGCACATGGTGGGGGGTTCAGCAAGTGGGGGGGGGGGTCCTCGCGGCTCTGGATGAGGCTGACCTGCCGGAGAGCCTTGATGACAAGGGGCAGGGAGGCCATGGGCAGAGGCAGCTGGCAAGGCGGCCGCAGACCTGTGACCGCGAGGTGGTCACCGCCAGGGGCGGCCCCGCTGAAGGCTGCAGATGTGGGGCTGGAGAGGAGGGGCTGGCTGCACCCCCCCTTTCCATCTTCTCTTTCCCGTTGTCTGGCCCGCAGGGCCTTCCTTGCTCTCCCTCCCATGGGGGGTGCTTGCGTTTTACAGGCTGTGGCACTGGTCCTGGGCCAGGACAGAGCTCCGTCCTGGGTCATAGGCCCCAGAGCAGCTGCCCCGCGTGCCGGCCGGGACCCGAGACACCGGCTGCCTCTGCTGGGCCTGCCCTGCTTCCCACCGCGGGCCCGGACAGCCCAGGATGAGGGTGCCCGTTGGCCAGGACGGGGCGCGGCGTGGTGCCAGCAGCCTGGGGCCTCAGGAGCAGGGCCAGGTTGCAGTGGGGAGGGACCTGCGGGCCAGCCTCCCCCTGTGCGGCCCCACGTGCTGCCACCCACACGCAGGACAGCCATCAGCCCGTAGGAGAGGCAGTGGCACTGGGTGGGTTCACCGCGGGGTCTCTGGGGGTGAGGGTGCTGGGCTGACAGAGTCCTCCGTTTGTGCCCCTCGTCCCAGCCACTGGGATGGGGCCAGCCCTTCCCGCCTTGGGGTGCCGGCCCGTCCGCTGCGTAGGCACAAACATGACAGTGTGAAGGAAGGCGCCCGTGAGCCAGCTGTTTACACGCTCACGGGAAGCGAAAATGTTCCTGAGCAAATGGCTGTGACAGACACCGGGTTTGCCCTTTGCTGACACCAAGTAAGGAGCTGGGAAGAAAGGGGCCCTTTAGAGTCACGGCGGGGGGCGTGTGCCCCCCCACGTCCTCTTCCTGAGGAGAGACCTGAGTCCTGGAGGGCACTGCTTCTCAGGGTCCCTCTGCCCCCCGCCTCCTGCCCCTGGCCGGGAGGAGTCCCCGCATGCGGCCCGGCTGCCGGAAGAGGACAGACCTGGGCTCAGGGCCGCGGGCCTGCTGGCCCCCACCTCCTCCGCAGGGATGCTGGCTCCGCAGCTACCGGGGAGCAGCGCGGCTCCCTTTCTGCTGAGTGTCTTGATGGCTTTTGACAACCCCAAAAGCAAGTTCCCAAGTCGATTGAACAATTGAAGTCACTTCCATCCACGTGCACCTGCTCAGAATGTCACTGCCAGCTGTGTCCCTGATAAAGGGCTGAGTCCTGCTGGCAGCCAGAGCGTGGGGTCAGAGAGCACTGGGTGCGCATGGCTGGGCTGTGACACCCTGACCCACTGAGGCCCTGGGAGGTGTCGCGAGGCTCTGGGAGGGCAGAGGGTGCTAGGGCCCCCTGGGCACCATAGGGCGTGGCTGAGGGAGAGGGCGAGACAGGGCCTGTCGGAGGCTTAGCGGCCACCGTCGGGGTCTCTAATGGACAAAGCCTCTGGCTGGTGGCCTCTGAGTCCCTCTGCAGAACCTTGGGGACAGAGGGAGCCGCTCTCTGGCCTTTGCTGCCTGCGGATGCGCCCGCTTACAATGGCCCCCTGCCTCTTGACAGCGACACTCGGGGAAAACGCTTTGAGTCTCTTACATCAGCTCCACAAGCTGTCTGTTCTCTCGTCCTTATAAAGACCTGGGCCCAGACCCCCCAGGGACTGCTCTAGTGTGGAGTCTCTGAAACGCGGCTTCTCTCTGGCTCTGCCATGCACTCAGTGCGGTTCTGGAAGCCTCCCCCACCAGCCGAGGCTGGTTCCCAGTCCAGAGAAGCTGGGCTCTGAGTCTCAGCTCCGGGGCGCCCTTGCTCCCCCAGGCTGGCAGGCTGCGCCTCGGGCCAGGAGCCGGGTGGGGCTTGCAGCACACAGAAGACACGGTGCCATGATTCTGCAAAGGTGGTCCCAGCCCCGCCCCTCCCAGATCCCTGCTGGGGGCAGTGGACTTCAAGGCCAAGCTCCTTGGCGGCCAGACTCGCCTCAGCAAGCCCTTTGATCAGCCAGAGGTCTGGGCATGCCTCTCTCATCCACCGCCAGGGGCGGGGCGGCCCCGGCGAGGCTCGGTCACCCACACAGGGCTGCGGCCGCACCTCCGGGAGAGGCTGGGGGAAGGTTTCTCAGGTCTGCGCACACCCAGCTGGGGGACGCGGCCCACACACCCAGCTCTGGCCCGGGGGCCGGTGTGGTCTTCCCTGTGCCGCCTTCCTCTCGCTGGCTCCTTGGCCCGTCTCCTGGAGGAAGGGGAAGCCCAGGCCCGGAGCAGCGGGCACAGCCTGGCATGTCGGGGCGAGGGGCTCCCTGTGCCCGCTGCACAGAGATGCGTGTGCAGCTCCCTTGGGCGCGGCGAGCTGGCTGCTTTCCTGCTCTCCCTCTCGTGGCTTCGGCCTGCCCCCCTACCCTCACCCCTCCACCCCCGGACCTCTGCAGCTTCTCAGTCTTTCCCCTCTGCGGTCTGCGCCACCAGGCTGGCCGCTCCAAAGCCAGCTTCCAACAAAAGCCGCGGCCACTTTACCCACAGAGAGGAGGGCAGGAGGGCGTCTCGCGGCTGTGCATCCGGGCCTGGCCTGCTCCCTGCCTCACGGCTGAACTGCCCGGTCCAGTAAACTAACCCCCACTCTTCACCCTCCCGAATGCCACTGGGTTACCCCCAGAACCTGGCCCCGATCTCGGGGCCTGAGGCTTCCAGCTCCAGAGGCTCGGAGCCAAGGGCCCTGTGTCCACGCAGATGTGACTCCCGAGACCCCCGGCGATGTCACTCTGCTGGGCGAGGCCTTCCACTGTCTCTTTGTCACCCTTCTCAAGGTGTGGACAAGCCCGTCCCCAGGGCGTGCTCAGTCCCCGAGGCAAAGAGCAGCTTCCAGGGCGCAGATGAGTTCAAGGTGCCCAGCGGAGGGCTGGCTCCTGGAAGAGCCCGCACACCATCCCCGTCCTGCCCACCCGGGTGACCAGGGCCACCACAAGGCTGGCTGCCATTTGTCATTTTTAAACAGAAACAAATCAAC